GCACAGGCGGCGATGGGCGCGATGGGCTGATACTCCACTTCCCACTATTTTGAGTCGCGGTTGCTCCGCTCTCATCATCATCATCTAAACGCGCGCTCTCGACGCTCGAGTCTCTCGGACGTCCCGGGGATTGGCGATCGTGTTGTCGGCCCCGCGTTGGTCTCGGTCCTCTTACAAGTATATGAACTCTTCCCAAATACTCTGGGACCAGCCAGCCCAGGGCCCGAGCGACGAGTGGACACGCCGCATGGGGAGTCGCGCCAAAAACCCCTCGTCGCCTCTCCGCTCAGCGCATCTCCGCCAGGCTAACTCCGCCCCAGTCAAGGGGCCTCTCGGTGAAGAACTCGGTCTGTCCACGGCTCTTGCGGACAAAGAGGCTCACCGGCGCGGGCTCGTCCTCCACGAGCGCCGTCAGCATTCGTGCACAAAGCAGACACCAGACCTCGGTTTCCCATAGGGTTTCTGCTGCGGTTTCCCATGGCGGTTTCCCATAGCCGAAAACCCAGGGGTCGGTCGGTTTCTGCGGCGCGCTCTGTTTTTTCTGGGATCTGTTTTCTGGGACACCCGCCTCGATTTCCCGTGGGATCTGCCTGTGGGTCTGGTTTCTGCGGTGTGAATACATCTCCCGCTTCGTCCTAATGAGCTCATTCCGGCCAATGAACAGGTTCCCCATCCGATTTTTTTCAAATGGGAACAGCAAAAAGCGGCATGCATTTTGTTCTGGTTTCTGGTTTCTGCTCCGATTGGTCGCGACTGGTGATGAGTGTTAAGCTGAGGTTGTCAACGCCGGGTGCGGGTAATTCTCGGCACGGATCGGCACGTGCGGTAGCGTGCGATGAGGCCTTGCCAGCTCCTGGTGGTGCCCTCAAGATCGCCGCGCGCATTGGCCGCTCCGCCGACGTTGTGATAGAGCTTCTTTCTGTCTCCAACAGAGTAGATCCAAACACTCTATTGATAGGTGATAGGTACTCAAAACACTCGCACAACGCCTGCCTTTCACAGCTCAGCCTTTCAGGGCTTGGGCATGACAAGCTCAACGGCCCCGCCGGTCGGCGTCCGATGCACGAGGCAGCCATGTTGGCTGCCACGGCGTTTCCGCTCGGGATCGCGGCAGCCTGGCGGACTCGACCGCATCGCAGGCCTCCCTCCCGTGAGCCACAAAAGTGCGTGGCAGCGCGGCGCGCCGCCAACCTCGCTTTCGGAGCAGAAACCAGAAACCAGAAACCATAATGCCTGGAGCGATAAAACGGTTCCCCCCAAGGGTTCCTCCCACCCAGAACATGCTGCTGTCTTAGTACTCCCGTTCGACCCATTCGGAATCCGATTAGTTAATGAAAGGTCATTCCGCCGGAATGACCCCTCCACGGGGAGATCGTTCACACCTCGAAAAACCAGAACCCAGAGTGTCTGGACCGATATTCCCATGGCCCGGATGTTTTCTGTGGGATGTGTCGAAAAAGCAGAATACAGAGCTCCTCCTCCTATAAGTCAGACGGTTTCTTGATAGCTGATATGCCAGGGAAGAGCCTGGTATCTCAGTATGTTATATCCTATGATATAACATAGTGGTGTCTGGTTTATGCACACCTCGCCGTCAGGCTCACCGGCGCGAGTAGGTCCACGCGGCGCACCATCGCGACTGGCGGCTGCTGCCTGATGCCGAGAGTTGCGTGCCTCTCGCGCGTGCGCTTGGTGAGCTGGTCGTTCGGGCCGATGAGCGTGAAGGCGCGGTGCTTGAGGGGACCGGGAGTGGAGGGCGCCTCCGCGACGGGCGATAGGAGGCCGCAGATCTCGCCCGTGGAGGAGAAGGGCGTGAGCAGCAGCTCGAGCTCAACCTTGCCCTCGAGCTGCTGCATGAATAGCTGCTCTGTAGCAGCCGAGCCGAGGAGCATAAAGGCGTACGCCCGGACGGCCTTGTCGTAGGCCAGATAGCAGAGCGCTCCTGCTGCCAAGAGCACTCCGCCGGTCACGAGCAGTCCTGCCCCTGATGCGTTGGACGGCCCAGCCTCTTGCTCGAGCGCCGCCACAAGCGAGTGCGACGGATTGCGCGGGCGCGTGCTGCTGCTCAAGGAACGAGCGAGAGGGAAGCGGACCGAGGGACTGCAAATGAGAGGGAAGCGGATCGTGGGACTGCAAATGAGAGGGAAGCGGACCAACGGACTGCAAATGCGTGAACGCGAGCGCGTCAAGCCGTGCCGCAGCATCACCAGCCCAATTCGCCGTCGCCGAAGCAGAGACAAGAGAACAGAGACGACGAGTCACCGCCCGATTGCAAGACTGCGATTGCCCAGCCAGTTGGCAGTCAGAATCAGAGTCAAGAGAGAGGAGTGGGACAAACCTCTTGGGCACCCGGCTGGCTGGCTCAAAAAAGATCAGAGGGTGTGTGGGTCCTCCCGCGTATCTAGATACACCACCAAGAAATTTTCGTCCCTTCCCGCTCTTTTATAGACACGTCCGAGAAAGGTCAACAAACGGCGAACGTGGGCAGTGCATGCAGCCGCGGCTGGTGCTTTCGTGTGTTGCGTTCGTGAGTGCATCATTCTCGATGGCGGAAATGGCATCCAGCTTTGAGAGCATCAAGCACAAGTTAGTCGGCGGGCCTTACGCAGGGGCAGGAGGCATGGCCATCGGGGCCGGTTCGGTGGGCGTCGAGGAGTTTGCTGATGATGCGGAGGCCATCAGTGCCATCCGAATGTTTCCGGATGTGATGCGGTCGTTCGGAGGGCTGGGGCCGGGCGCAACGGACGCTGAGGTCGCGGCAATCTTCCTCCCGGCGCTGAAGGTGATGCTGCCACATGGAGGCTACTTTCATGATACGCTCTACGGCATCCGTTGCTCGAATCCGTAACGCCCGCCGGGCGAATGCGATTGCCGGGTCCTATCGCCAAAAGGCCCGGATCCTCCTCTTGTCTGGCAGCAAACGCAAGCTGCGGCACAAGCCGCGTTGGCGCAGAGGAGGCGGCAAGCCTCAACGCGCCTACCCGCGGCATACCGCCGGATCGGGCCAAGACTAAGGCTGCAGGATTCGGCCCGCGCCCGCTGCGAGTGCCCTCCCGTTGAGGTGTCCATCGTATGTGCAGTGGGGCTACAACTGTAGCGCGTCGGCAGGATCCCCGAAACCGTCGTAAAGCCGTCCCCCCCCCCCCCCCCCCGCAAACTTTAAACCACCATAAACTCGACGATCTGCAGGGGCAGGCCCCAAATGACGTGTGAGTGTTACAGTTGTTTTTGTTTTGCACGTGCCCAGTGTAAAAGAAAGAAAACAAACCACCCAGGGATATTAAGGAGAGGAGTGGTGCTAGCCGTCGCCCACCCTAAAAGAAAGAAAGAAAACAGACAAGCCAAGGGAGGGATGGCCACCCTAACCCAGTGCCCAGGTCCACTTGGAGCATTTGGAGTGCAGTCATCAACCGCACATCCAGGGCCAGGGAGCTGAGAAGCGCACCCAGCGGGCCGGATGATTGGCATCGGGTTGCGGGCAAGAGAGCCCTAGCCCTGGGGGTCCGCTGAGTTTTTTAAGTGGTAAAATTCTTCTTTGCCTGTGGCCAAGTGCGCGCCCCAGTCGCGCTCCACGAGATCCGCGGCTACCAGAAGTCGACGGAGCTCCTTCCGCAAGCTGCCCTTCCAGCGCCTGGTGCGCGAGATCCGCCGTTAGCGGATGCCGCTTGCCGCCTCGACTCCGCTGCTGGACGACTTTCTCGTCGTCGCGCTACGCGGCAAGGAGCTCGAGCTGCTTTACAGCTTCACCGGCGGCACCGGCGAAGCCGCCGCCCGCACCTCCGCCGTGAAGCAGTTCTGCTTCCCCGACGTGGAGGACACGACTTCCCTGTCGCTGCAGTCCGAGTCCTTCACGCTGACCCTGACCGAGGACGACGGCTCCCGCTGCTTCGGCTTCTCACGCCGGCTGGCCAGCCTCGGCGACCTGCACCGCCCCGTCTGCCTGTGCGTGCTCTCGCGCCGGCCGTGGTTCTCGCTCTTCATGCACATGCTGGACATTGCACAGCGAGCGGGCGAGCGGGCTGAGCACGACTGCATCGGTGGCTTCATCCCCGCCTTTGTCGCCGCGGCCACCGCCGCCCGGCTCCCGCCTCCGGGCGGAGCGCTAGCCGTGTCTGCCGGAGACTTCGGCAGCCACCGCCTGTACGCGCCTTACGACGATGAGCGACCGACGGGCGTCTCATTCGAGCCGCTGCTCTCCGCGCTCGGGGTGCCAAACACGGTGCGGCTCCTTGGCGCCCTGCTGCTCGAGCAGCGAGTCATCTTCGTCGGCAGCCGGTGGGGTCACGTCTCCTCGTGCGCGCACGCGGCGCTCACGCTGCTTTACCCGCTCACCTGGCAGCACATCTTCATCCCCGTCCTTCCGACGGCGATGCTCTCTTACGCGTGTGCGCCGATGCCGTACGTGCTCGGTCTCCTCGCCCGCCACGCGCCCGCCCTCGCCAAGGAGCCTGTCGAGGAGGAGGTGCTCTACGTCCACCTCGAGACCGGCAAGATCGCGGGCGGCGCCGAGCCTTCCGATGAGGCGCCCTCGCTGCCGCGCCCCATCTC